TACCTGCGCACGTTATAGAAGGGCACTGATCGCAGGCAGGCGATGGCTGCGCGCTTCCTCGCGAAGGACAGCAGCTTCCGCCAGCCCGACCGGGACACGGGGGGAGTGCAGGCCTGTTGGCCGCGAGCAATGTCGGTTAGTCGGTAGCACTGTTATCACCACACACCGCCGCTCGCCACTCACCTGCCGAGGGCCGCCACGCCCTCGCCAGCACGCCCCCTGTGCCTCCCCACGCCAACTTTGCCTGGGTCTACCAGCTAAGGCAGCCGGAGTGAGACAGGCCACAGGAGGGGCACAAGCGGGGGGTGACGCCGTCAGGAGGTCAGCGACGAGCAGCGTCAGCATATGAGACGAGACGCGCCCACTCAGCACACAGCACGGGAAGACTGCGACTGAAGCGAGAGGTGAGGGGCTGCGTGTGTGCCAGGGTGGACGCTCTCGCCCCATTCAGTTAATCTCTAGGCGGGTGGGGCGACCGCAGGGCCGCGACTTAGCATCCGGTAGGTGTTCATTTCAAATAGTTATTACAATTTTTAGAAATCCTTTATTACTCTCTACTGTGTCTATTTTGGAAACCCTTTTCTTCGATTCTTCTTTTCCACACTCTACCGTTTCTCTAAGTTTCGCCCCTCTGGCTTTTCTACCAAAATGAAGATGTTAATGATTAGTAGGATCACTATTACAAAATTTTGAATTGTTGGATATCAATTTGTTCAGAATTTTTATATCTTATGGAAATAACTGTATCAGTTAGTCTGGTTACCTGAATTGACTGATAAAAATTAAAATGCGTGAAATCATCAACTTTTTTATCTTGACAAGGATCATACAATAGGATATCATTCAAAATAACAATATTCCAAACCATTGTTCTAAAATGCACGGCAAGAACACGGAAGCATTGGGCAGTGCTTCTTCACAGTGCAGAAAAAAAGGCTTTACAGCGATAGGCGAAAATCATGCACAACTATGGCAGCGCGTCAGTTTCCCTTGTGCATGACGACACTCACTTTGACACAAAAAAATCTTCATGAATAAATGTGTAAGATAATTTCCTTTATAAAATCAGTTAAGAGAGAAGAATGTGAGTGTCGTCTTCGCACAAGGCAATGTTGCACAGCGCTTGTCAGCCACAGTAGCAGCAATGACAGCAGCAGCAGCAGCAGCACAGCTGGGCCCTGGACCTACTGCCGTTCCAGGAAACCCAGGTACCTTGGCATCATGTGGAGGGACGTCTGTCTGAAGCAGGCGATGACGGCTCGCTTGCGCTGGATGGACACGACTGAACGCCAGACTTCCTTGGACGATTGAGGGTGGTCGATCTGTCGAGCCGCGGCACCCAGTTAACTTACTCTTCGGGGAGCTCTTGGGGGAGTCACCAGGACGACCTCCAACTCTCATTTTTTGTGATCATGAGCAAAGGTCTATGCCAAAAGAAAGTCGTTCCAGAGAATATCTACGATCTTTTTTCTACCCTTTGGAGGTCTTCCTGTTCACTCCCCGACAGCACTGATCTCTATGCAAGACTTACGTGCAACATCTAGTTACTTAATGACATTCCAAGCTTTTGTATCTTTTTAATGAATTCGTGAATAAATCAAATTAAATCAAAACTTATTCTATGTGCCAGAAAAAAGTAATATAAATTTAATCCATGCAAATAAAGTCCTGTTGATATCAACTATACCAGTGTGTCTTAATGCAAGTGTAGATGCGAAAGTGTATAGGCTTTGTATGCATTCTCATAAAGGTGCCAATATCCCAAAAGCTATGTGTTCTTACAGAGTAAATAAAAAAGATGATGAGAATGAAGATGATAAACACTGGCGTGCTGAACACTTTTGAAAGAGGCCTGCGAGACGTACACAACACGTGTCCCTCGGATTGCGCTTTGGGTCAGCGATACTCACAATATGAAGGCCGTAGAGGACCTTAGCCATGGCGACGATGTTATCGACGGTCTCGTCTACGGTCGGGACCAGCTTCTTCTCCTCGTCGTCTTCCCTCGGGACGCGGCCGCCTCCGAGGCGCGAGTATAACGTGTGCTGCCAATTCATGGCGTCAGACGGGTCGATCTTGTCGGGCAACGTCAGCTGAGTCTTGGCGAACACCAAGATCTCGGATTCAGGTACTCTCTGCATGGGCGGAGTCGACTGTGAATCTCTCTGAGTATTCCTTCAAGAATTTGATTATGAACAACAAACCTATAATCTTTCAGAGTCCACAATAAATAAAAAAACAATAAGAATCCCACAACGAAAACTAACCGCAAGGAACTTCTCTTTGCAGTGTTGCACGAGCTCCTGTTCTCGACCTGCGAAGAGGTTGAGACCCACCGGCAGGAGGCGCTTCAGACAAGCTACCATGAGAGAGGACGCGAGTTCCTTCTCCTTGCTCATCTTCTTGCCGTCGGCGCGCCTCTTCTTCTTCTGCAAAAGGGATCGAAGAGCCCCTGAACCTCATTCTTTGAAAAGAGGATCTAAGCGCCTGCATAGACTATCTAGACTAACCTAAACCTGTCTGGGAGTTTACCTCGTCATAGGCTACGTTTTCTGTCTATTATCTTTATTTAATCTGTGTTGTATTCTTTTTAGAATGATGATAGATTCATGGGAAAAGTTATAAAAGCCTGATTCAATTGATTCTCACCTATATTGTCAACATACCTGTTTGTATTGATGTCCTTTTAGTATACCACGTGCATAATACCATGTGATTTTATTTATGTCTCCAGCTTCTGCCTTTATTTCCATAAAGTTTCCTTAGGTATTTTACATATAAGTGTGGACAAATGAACTAGGAGACGACGGAAAGATAGAGAAAGAAGGGAAGGAGAGAGAGAGAGAGAGAGAGAGAGAGAGAGAGAGAGAGAGAGAGAGAGAGAGAAAGAGAGAGAGAGAGAGAGAGAGAGAGAGAGAGAGAGAGAGAGAGAGAGAGAGAGAGAGAGAGAGAGAGAGAGAGAGAGGGAGAGAGAGGGAGAGAGAGACAGAGAGAGACAGAGAGAGACAGAGAGAGAGAGACAGAGAGACAGAGACAGACAGACAGACAGACAGAGAAACAGAGAGACAGACAGACAAAAAGGAAGATGAAGTGAGAGATAGAATGACTGAAAGAGAAATTAATGAACACTGTCCTTGAATTACAGAATAACAACCAAACAACTACCCCCATAGTCCAAAATGCAGTGTAATGTGAACCTCCTCCAGAAAAAAACCGAGTGAAGTGTCAACAGTGAGTGCCAGTTCCAGTGACAAAACAAGTGTGTGTTTCTCATAAGATTTGGCTCCCTCACTCCACAAGTCCAGAGTCGAATCCAATAAACCTGTATAACTATCCTAAGTCATTAGGGTAGATGCCTTACATACTAGTAGCGTTGGATATTGCTTAGGGAAAAAATATGACTAAGGTAAAAAAAAATGGAAACAGTCACACGTTATCAAAAAAAAACATCCATACATACATACTCTATCAATATATACAGACAGATATATATGCATATATATATATGCCGTACATATATGTATATGTATGTATGTATATACAGTACATGAATAAAAAATATGGATCTTTAATTTGTATACGAAAAAAAGTAATAAAAAAGATGTATCAGCAGGTTCATGAAAATGAACTTAATTTCGTTGTGGCAATAATCACAAGCTATAAACTGAATAAACAATGGCATTCCAAAGCAGCATGATCTTTTTAGGTACCAGCAAAATGCACGGTTTAAAAAAAGAGGGGGAAAATATAATCTTTAAAAAAAAAATCAAAAACTTTATATCAAACGCCAAAAAAAAACAACATGCAGAACTGAATGTCGACCCTGCAACGCAAGCCGGAGAAACTTCCAAAAAAACAAACGAGAACCAAAGAAAAATAAAGGAGAAACGTAAAAGAAAGTCAATATTTCCTTAAACAAAAGAGAGCAACCCAAAAATAAAAACAGAGAAGAAAATCCTCTTTGCATGAATCACATTACTGCAAGAGGCAAAAAAATAAATGAATAAATAAATAAAATAATTGAAAAAAAAGCCAATCTTATTTTTCTTTCTTTTTTTATCCATAAGAAAGCGGCCACATATTTGTTTTTATCATAGTGGCCATGCTGTGTCCATAACGAAAGCGAAAGCAACGTAAAGAAAAAAAAATACTGGAAATAAGTAAACAAATAAATAATAATAATAATAATGACCAAAAAAATATGGATTGAGAAACAACCCACATGCGACCCGGAGCGCTTGGTATCTGGGGGGGGGGGGGGGCTAACACGGAGACTGCTGGGGGGAGGGGGGGCAAGTAGTAGTGATGGGGTGGGGGGGGGGTCTGTCTAGTCTCATCTAGACGTGCAATCTCTCTGCAAGTCTTTACTCTATTCATTATATATCAACATCTATGGTCTCTTTAGACAGAGATATCAGTCTTTTCTGAATTTTTATATCAACTTTATTTTTTTGCAATTCTTTTGGAATGGATGATTTAGGTATCAATATATACATGTTTTTTTTTTCTTTTTTGCATTCAGAAAAGCTTAACATACCAGCCACTGGAAAACTGACATGTGCAAGTGCACGAAAATCATGAAATGCACTGCAAACAGAGGAACAATATATACATACTGTCATGGTTTGTAGTCCAGTTTGCTTTAAACGACAAAACGAAAGAATATATATATATACAGATAGATACATGGTGAGATCCAAATCTAATGTCACATCGGAGCACGAGATGGCAGCACCGAAGGAGGGAGGGAAAATTAGCACCAACGATATGGCAACACTCACCACCGCCAATGCCTTCCAGAAACAAAAAATTGGCCCAAAAATTTTAAGAATAAGAAAAAAGATACAGAAGCAATTTAAATATATCTATGAAGCTTTCGTGACAAATGAACAGCATAATATTCAGGATTAGTTCTACAGCAAAATAATAAATGAACTAGCTATGGAAGCTTCTAATTCAACAGACAACATTTAAATCAGTCACTGTTCAATGCATTATCATTATAATAGGTAGATTAATTAATGTACATGAAAATAAACATTCCCTTATTCTATCACATAATTAATTGCAATATATCACAGCATTACTCTAATCTAATATTATCTTTCATAATTTTTTTTATATATCTTACTTCTATCTTTGTCAGATGTCTCTACTCAAGAGTGACTCAACATATTTTCGATTCTATGCGAAAGACAAACAAGATAACTTCGGAGATCTTGTTTAGTCCTTTCGTGAGTAGAGTCAGACGGAAGCTTGGTTGTGTGGGGGGGGTCAGGCCAGCACACAACTCAGTGCCACGTAGTCAGCAATTGGTCTCAAAATCACATTTAGATATAATGAGATCGTAATTACATAATTAAACTATCAAGTAAGAACAAGGATAATCGTGATAAAGAGAGTAACTATTCTCTCAAAATATCAAGTAAGAGCAAGGAAAATCGAGGTAAGAATTCTCAATGAAATACTTCCTCATCCACCGCAGGGGTATTTATCCTCTCCCGACTACGTGTCTGAGGCCTGCAAGTACTGGGGAGTGACCGCCCCCTTCGGGACGAAGAGAGAGCGCTCCAGGCGGACCATGCTTTACCTTTACCTTGCCGCCTCCAGCCGCCGCCTCGGGCAGGACGGCGGTGCGGTTGCGGGAGGAGGCCGTGGGCATGATCAGGGTCATGTTGTCGATCTCGTTCTGGCTGATGAAGTTCGTCTCCTCTCGTCGGAAGTACTGAGAAGGAGAGAATGGTATGTTTACAATGGCATATGATGATATGTGTCGTATGCCTGTTTGTTTGTTTATTTATTTATTTGCTTGTTTGAGTGCGTATGTGTGTGTGTGTGTGTGTGTGTGTGTGTGTGTGTGTGTGTGTGTGTGTGTGTGTGTGTGTGTGTGTGTGTGTGTGTGTGTGTGTGTGTGTGTGTGTGTGTGAGTTATCAGTCAATGAACGATTTTCTCGAATGCTTTACCTGTGAGTTTGACCAGATGTGGAAGATCTGTGAGACACGGTTGTACACATCCTCAGCCTCTGGGACACCGTGCTTGAGCCAGTGGTTCCTCTGCTGGTCGACGTACTTGATGAGCAGAGGATAGAAGGCATATATGTCCCTCGTGAGCAGTTGCCATTCCTCTTGAAGTTGGCTCTCGACCTGAAGGAGAAAATGCATTTTACTTAAGTTACCAAATGTTTAAAACATCAACGCTATACATTCTTTGTGTGAAGTGTTTTTTTTCAGCCATTGTTCAACCAACTAGGGTGTTTCTACCATACAGAACGAACAGTTTGGATCACGAGAGGACGTCACATAAAAACCCACCTGACTTGTATCTTCGGTGGTGGACTTGAGGAAACTCCTGAGATTCTCCTCCTTGTTGTACATGTATTCCGTTCGCTTGTGGACCCTCTCGGCCAGGGGAAGGTAAGCGTCCTTGAGCAGTTCCTCGCTGGAGTTGATGATGATCTGCTGGGTGTAGCCGGCGATGCGGGTCATCCAAGGGGCGTTCTCCACACCCACGTTGAACATGATGAGACGCAGCACCAGGCGCAGGAGCTGGTTCATGTGCTCACACGTCACCATCGACACGTGGTTGCTGAAGGCATGGAGGCGATATTTTTATTAGGGTGGAAGAATGTTATATATTGCATTCGGTCGAGTTCTTTTAATATATCGTTGTGATATACACATCAATCTAAACTTCTATGTGTCCATCTCTCTGTCTTTTAGTTTATCAATCTTTCTGTATACCCATGAAAATTCAGCCTCTTGATTGTGTATTTGCCTGGTGACATTTGTCTTTCTTCCCGTTATGACATTCTATGTCTTTATTTCATCCATCCATTAAACCACACACCTATCAGTTCACCTATCCATTCTCCATCCATCCATCCAACCACCAAACCCTCTACTTCACACATCCATCCCCCATCCATTCCACCCAACTATCCACTAACCCAGCCATCTACCCACAACACCAACCAATTGAAGGGAGAGGGAGAGGGAGAGGGAGAGGGAGAGGGAGAGGGAGAGGGAGAGGGAGAGGGAGAGGGAGAGGGAGAGGGAGAGGGAGAGGGAGAGGGAGAGGGAGAGGGAGAGGGAGAGGGAGAGGGAGAGGGAGAGGGAGAGGGAGAGGGAGAGGGAGAGGGAGAGGGAGAGGGAGAGGGAGAGGGAGAGGGAGAGGGAGAGGGAGAGGGAGAGGGAGAGGGAGAGGGAGAGGGAGAGGGAGAGGGAGAGGGAGAGGGAGAGGGAGAGGGAGAGGGAGAGGGAGAGGGAGAGGGAGAGGGAGAGGGAGAGGGAGAGGGAGAGGGAGAGGGAGAGGGAGAGGGAGAGGGAGAGGGAGAGGGAGAGGGAGAGGGAGAGGGAGAGGGAGAGGGAGAGGGAGAGGGAGAGGGAGAGGGAGAGGGAGAGGGAGAGGGAGAGGGAGAGGGAGAGGGAGAGGGAGAGGGAGAGGGAGAGGGAGAGGGAGAGGGAGAGGGAGAGGGAGAGGGAGAGGGAGAGGGAGAGGGAGAGGGAGAGGGAGAGGGAGAGGGAGAGGGAGAGGGAGAGGGAGAGGGAGAGGGAGAGGGAGAGGGAGAGGGAGAGGGAGAGGGAGAGGGAGAGGGAGAGGGAGAGGGAGAGGGAGAGGGAGAGGGAGAGGGAGAGGGAGAGGGAGAGGGAGAGGGAGAGGGAGAGGGAGAGGGAGAGGGAGAGGGAGAGGGAGAGGGAGAGGGAGAGGGAGAGGGAGAGGGAGAGGGAGAGGGAGAGGGAGAGGGAGAGGGAGAGGGAGAGGGAGAGGGAGAGGGAGAGGGAGAGGGAGAGGGAGAGGGAGAGGGAGAGGGAGAGGGAGAGGGAGAGGGAGAGGGAGAGGGAGAGGGAGAGGGAGAGGGAGAGGGAGAGGGAGAGGGAGAGGGAGAGGGAGAGGGAGAGGGAGAGGGAGAGGGAGAGGGAGAGGGAGAGGGAGAGGGAGAGGGAGAGGGAGAGGGAGAGGGAGAGGGAGAGGGAGAGGGAGAGGGAGAGGGAGAGGGAGAGGGAGAGGGAGAGGGAGAGGGAGAGGGAGAGGGAGAGGGAGAGGGAGAGGGAGAGGGAGAGGGAGAGGGAGAGGGAGAGGGAGAGGGAGAGGGAGAGGGAGAGGGAGAGGGAGAGGGAGAGGGAGAGGGAGAGGGAGAGGGAGAGGGAGAGGGAGAGGGAGAGGGAGAGGGAGAGGGAGAGGGAGAGGGAGAGGGAGAGGGAGAGGGAGAGGGAGAGGGAGAGGGAGAGGGAGAGGGAGAGGGAGAGGGAGAGGGAGAGGGAGAGGGAGAGGGAGAGGGAGAGGGAGAGGGAGAGGGAGAGGGAGAGGGAGAGGGAGAGGGAGAGGGAGAGGGAGAGGGAGAGGGAGAGGGAGAGGGAGAGGGAGAGGGAGAGGGAGAGGGAGAGGGAGAGGGAGAGGGAGAGGGAGAGGGAGAGGGAGAGGGAGAGGGAGAGGGAGAGGGAGAGGGAGAGGGAGAGGGAGAGGGAGAGGGAGAGGGAGAGGGAGAGGGAGAGGGAGAGGGAGAGGGAGAGGGAGAGGGAGAGGGAGAGGGAGAGGGAGAGGGAGAGGGAGAGGGAGAGGGAGAGGGAGAGGGAGAGGGAGAGGGAGAGGGAGAGGGAGAGGGAGAGGGAGAGGGAGAGGGAGAGGGAGAGGGAGAGGGAGAGGGAGAGGGAGAGGGAGAGGGAGAGGGAGAGGGAGAGGGAGAGGGAGAGGGAGAGGGAGAGGGAGAGGGAGAGGGAGAGGGAGAGGGAGAGGGAGAGGGAGAGGGAGAGGGAGAGGGAGAGGGAGAGGGAGAGGGAGAGGGAGAGGGAGAGGGAGAGGGAGAGGGAGAGGGAGAGGGAGAGGGAGAGGGAGAGGGAGAGGGAGAGGGAGAGGGAGAGGGAGAGGGAGAGGGAGAGGGAGAGGGAGAGGGAGAGGGAGAGGGAGAGGGAGAGGGAGAGGGAGAGGGAGAGGGAGAGGGAGAGGGAGATGTTCTCCCTCCCATTTACCAGTCCACCAACCTATCCACCTGTCACTCACCCCTCAGATGGATTCACGTTATCCGGTCCCTGATTCCACCAGAAGGGCAGGTAGGAGCACAGCATGGGCAGGATGACGTCGATGATGTAAGGGAACTCGGTGTGTTTGGATTCGTCGTCTACGAACTTCTCTACTTCCTTCATGACGGCTTCCAGGGTCGGCATGGCTGTCTCCATCTTCACGATGATTTCTGGAAAATGGAGGGAAAATTGTGGTGAAATAGGGTAGATTTTTTAAGGGGAGGTGTTTTCTATATCAGTTTCTTTGATTTGTTTGAATGGGACACTTCTTTGTACTTTTTTTGCTCTTCTTTGTCCACCTCTTCTCTCACATTCACTCTTCTTCACTTCTGTCGCCCTTCTTCATCCCTCTACACATCCCTTTTCATCCCTCCCCTTCACTGAACTACCTCCCTGTCATTCCTCTTCCTTCTCCGTCTCATAATCATCCTTTTCTACCGCTATATTATCCTTCTCCACTCCTCTTCCACAAACTCCCCTCCTTTCCTCTTCCCTCCCTCCCTCACCATCCACAACCCTTACACCTACCTTGAGCCTCCAGGGACTGATCGGCAATGCGGTTGTGAATGCTCCAGGGGTTGTTCTTGTTCATGAGCGGCTCCAGGAAGGCCACGGGGAACGTTCCAGCGAAGGCCCCGAGGCAGTTGCCGATGGCCGGACGATGGCGGTCCAGTTCCTTCTTCATGAAGGTTCTGTTGCCATCGAGAGTGAGGTCGGTGCCCAGCTGGTAAAGCGCCGCCAGGATCTTGTAGCAAGCCACTTGGATCTCGTCCACTGTTGGAAAGGGTCCAGATAGAAGGCATTATTTTTTTTATTTGTTATTATATCATGACTATAGTTATTGACGGATAAGGATACTCAACAGTCTAGAAGGGTTGAAAGAGAAAGAGAGATGAATAGAGAAGAAGAGTGAGAAGAAGGGAGAGGGAGAGGGAGAGGGAGAGGGAGAGGGAGGGGGAGATCGAGAGGGAGAGGGAGGGAGGGAGGGAGGGAGAGAGGGAGAGAGGGAGAGAGGGAGAGAGGGAGAGAGGGAGAGAGGGAGAGAGCGAGAGAGCGAGAGAGGGAGAGAGGGAAAGAGAAAGAGAGAGAGAAAGAGAGAGAAAGAGAAAGAGAAAGAAAGAGAAAGAGAGAGAGAGAGAAAGAGAAAGAGAGAGAGAGAGAGAGAGAGAGAGAGAGAGAGAGAGAGAGAGAGAGAGAGAGAGAGAGAGAGAGAGAGAGAGAGAGAGAATGAAGGAAAATATATCACAAAAGGCCACATTACTCACACAGGAGATCTTGCCCGAACTCGCAGGCTGCCGTGTGATCGAACAGCGAGGTGAGCACCGGCAGAAGAACTGTCTGCACGTAGTTGAGAGATGCCGAAGTCTTCAAGTGAGTACCTCGAATGTAGGCGTATTTACCCTGTGTATGATAAAAGCCACTGTAAAATACTCGCCCCAGTCTTTTATATTTTGTCTTTTCTAGAATAATGAAGCTGATTTTTTTTTTTATCCCGTACTTGCCACTACCAATTTCAAAAAAGAACTTTCAAAATTTACAGCCTACAGAAGAGGAAATTATTCCCCAAATACCACCAGGTTTTCTCACCTCCTGAAGACAGTGAATGCACATCTCTAGATCGACGGCTGCGTTGTTGAAGAAAGTGAGCATCGACGTGCGAATGAACTCGGGGAGACTCTTGGCCAGCGTCTTGGCGTCGACGGAGCGCACTATCACCTGTAGGCACTTCACCGTAACCTGAAATAAAAAAGGGGTATCGAGGGTCAGTGCGGAAGGACAGATGGGTCTAAGGACATAAGGGTCTCTTTTACTTCTGGGCTACATTTTTTGTAGTCTATAGGCTTTTGAGGAGCTATCTATGTTCCCTATGTTTTGCTTAAAGTTTTATCTAGCATGAAATATTACAAAATGGAAAAAATGGTGAATGCTGACGTAATGCAAAATCTGCAATCACAAGTTAAGTCTGTAGCTAGACCTTACCTTTGTATCAGAACCGAAGCAGACCATCTTGAGACGCATGAGATTAGCAAGTTTGCAGAAGAGGGAAGCGACCATCTCTTTCTCCTTGAGAGACGCCGCACCCACCATAGTCGACGTCTGTGCCACCGTCAGGAAGTAATTGCGGTTGGTGCTAAAGGGAAGAGAGAAACAAAGGAGTCACAAAAACACTCGAGTATATTAAAGTTACGATTCAATGTTTCAATTGCTTAGTAATCTCGCCAATAATGTTATTTTTACCTGAAGTATTTCTCCATCAGCGGGAGCACGACCTTCGAGAAGAATTTGACATCCTTAGTCGAAGTCTTGAAGGAGCTTCGCCTGGAGAGATTAGCAGAGGGCTTCAGCAGCTTCATGTTGATGGCTGCGCAATCCAGGTACTGCAGCAGCTTCTCGAGCAGACTGTAGGCGAAGCGACGCTCGACGGCTCCTGCGGCTCCTGCACCGCTGTCCTCAACGGCGCCGCTCCTGAGAGAAAAATAGTGAGCTGAAATATATGCCAACTAGGTACGTTTGAGATCATTCCCTCAGTTCTCTTGCGAGTATGATCACGTGGCGAGGCAAGTAACTCACCTGCTGAGCCTGTAGCCCATGAACTGAAGGTATTTGAGCAGCTCGATGGAGCGGAAGCGGTCCTTTCGCTTCTCCTTCTCTGTCAGCATGTCGTATGGCACCATCTGAGGGTGCAGGCCGCCACCTGCCAGAGGAAGAGGAGGGCTGTCATATATGTCTTTTTAACCTGGATATGAATAATGCACCTTTCCTATTCGCTAACTTGAAGAAAATCAAATAATCATTCACTTCGAATTCTATACCTTTACAAATTCGACATTTTTACGACAGTAATCAAATGAATATACAATGCTGCATCTAGAAGCGTCTACTCCTCGCTACGCTTGCCACTCACCGCAAGCCTCCAGTTCCTCGACCTTCCTCTTGGCCCAGATGTCGTGCGCGTTCTCCGCCAGGCGCTCGGCCATGTTCTGCATCTCCCTGGACAGCGTCAGGTTGGTCATGTCCACAGGTTGTGGGTTGTAGTTGTACAGATCGGACTGCGGAAGGAATAGAAATTCGATATGAAGAGTAATAAATGGTAATAAGAGAAATCACCTAAATGTTGTTGATTATTCAGTCAGAGAGCGTATGATACCTCCCTCAAATAAAAAGAAGAGGAGGAAGAAGAAGGAAAGATAATAACAATAATATTAGTAATAATAATAATGCTAATGATAATGATGATAATAATAATATTAATAATAATAATAAGAAGAAGAAACTTACGGTGTCCTGGCGGTGCAGCTGCTCTCGGCCGGCGCTCGTGTTCTCCATGCTCTCGTACTCGATGTTCCAGCTGAGGGCAAGAAGGGCCTTGATGGCTTCCCTCACAGGCTCGCGGTATCGTTCCCGCTCCTGGCGGCGGAGAAAGACACGTTGGTGAGTGGTTAGTAAGTTTATATATGTATATAATCTTCATCAACAAGTATGAAAGCCTTCTAATAATGAGGCTCTTGATCTATTAGAGGCCACATTCACGAGAAGAAACAAACTTCCACAAAATGTGAACAAAGCCCTGAAACCCCAACTGTACCAGTCATAATTACCCCAAGAGCTTCCATAGTCCGACACAAGGAAACACATTCTTGCATTATAAAACAAGATTCAGTCTTATTGTTTAGTCCTGAAACTTTCGCAATGAGACAACAGGAAATACTTCCACGAAATATAAGTAAATCTCAGCATTAGCGACTTTTGCAGAGGCTCATCTAATCTGACAACAAACTTCTGCAAAATGTTATTAAGGCTCTAAGTCTCTATCTTATCAATTACTTCCGGAATTATATCAATCCTACAATAAAAAACAAGCTTGACCATATATAAATAAATCTAATTGTAACGCCCACATCAGAAGCTAATTTGAAAACGTAAAAAAGTCACAAAAAAAAATAAAAACATGAAGGTCCTAAACCATAGCCTTCCCGATTACTCCTAGAAGTTACGTAACCCGGAAGCAGAAAACAATTCTTACGACAGATAATCAAGGCTCTAAATCCCTTTGAACTTACGTAATCCGACAGCATGGAATAAGGCTTGAGTCTAGGATGCATCTTGTCCTCAATGGAGTAGGCTTCACCATAGGTCCAGCCGCTCTCCAGCTTGCGTGAGGCCCAAGCGTCGTGGTAGTGCTCGCTGAACTTGTTGATCAGGTCCACGATGTCCTGGTCCAACTGCACCCTGTGGGAGGCAGTGGCGTGTTAGAGCGACGGTTCTCAAACATTTTGGTGATCGTACTACTGGCAGTGTTGTGATGGATCACCATTACCCTTCTCCCGTTCCTTCTCAGATATGGAAAAATATTAGAATCCTGAATTTTTTATGCACTTTATATATCAGAAATTAATTCTCTGATTGTGATAAATATTAGTTTATTTACTTCTACATTATAAACTTATTTATTTATTCATCTATCTAGCAATTTATTAACCCATTTATTATATTTATTCACAATTTACTCCAAAGAACTATGATTATTACAAAGTGCCTCGTTACCCTCCAGAGAGCTTTAACACCCCTGCATGGGTGTTAACCCCAGTTTGATACCACTTTGTTAGATCTCATATGCGCTTTGTGTAGCATTTTATGACAAGAACCGGGATAAAACACACTACATTTCTGCCTGGAGTATTTAGTACACTATCCTCCCTTTGTTCATCCTAATATGATATATATTTCTTAATTAACTCGGCACAAGAAAAATATTCACCATTATACCAAGCTACCCAACCACGATACAGCGGCAACCAAACTCAAATTTGCTAATATAAACAAAGGCAATCCCCAAACACTCGAGATCGATGCTCGGCCACTTACTCATCCGTGCTGATGGGGGCGGGCTTGTACGGTCCCTCGGCGCAGGAGGCGGTGTTGTAGAGCTCGTCGTCGTAGCCATGGGTGAGCGAGTAGTCGGGGGGCAGAGAACAACCGATAGCTGAGAGGCATGGCAGAGCCTGAGGGAAAACGAAAGGGGGAACACTTACATTATTATTGTTTTCATACTATATTATCTTTTCTAATTATTTCTTTGCTTTTTTGGAGATTCGAGAAACCACTCTTGGCCAATTCATCATCGTTCAGCATTTTTACTCATATCTATCAAGTTCACCAAAGGCTCTGTCTCATTTATTAACATCCCGTTTCTTAACATCGACGGCCCGGGCCACATACCTTGCCGAACAGGTCTGGGTCGTACTCCATCTTGGCCAGGGAGTCGAAGATGTTGGTGAAGAGCATCATGGTCAGGCGCTTCTCTTCCTCGGAGGCGGTGCCGGGGGTGTTGGAGGAGGAGCCGTAGTACTTTCCGCAGCGCTCGTAGTGCAGGGTCAGCAGCTATGGGAAGGAAATGACAATTTTTAAAAAATGATAATAATGATTGCTAAAGTAGGTGAGACAAATCATGGAAGAACTATTCTAAATTCTAAATTCTAATATATATATATATATATATATATATATATATATATATATATATATATATATATATATATATATATATATATATATATATATATATATATATATATATATATATATATATGACAATATACTGATGTACAGAATCCCCAGTTTCAACATCTAGAAACTTTCAAATAATCACACGACCAGATAATGACTGAAATCCACATCCAAATCTACCAAACTGCTCCCCACACGGCGCCGCAGACCTACCCTGAGGGCGACGGTGGTGTACTCCGACAACTTGGAGACGTCAATGGTCAGCTTGCGGAGGAGCGGCAGGAGGGCGGCCGGCTGCATCTCGCGGGTCAGAGCCACCAGGAAGTCGGACACGGCCTCTCGCTGGCCCTTCGTCAGGATCTGGAGACAAGGGAAGGGAAATTGGTCAGAATTGCTTAATGAGTCAGGGAGAGGGAATGTTGGAAGATGAGAATGATGGTGGTGATGGTGATTATGATTACGATGACGATTAAG